GTAGGTAGGTAGGTAGGTAGGTAGGTTGGTAGGTAGGTAGGTAGGTAGGTAGGTAAATAGTCAAGCCCGTAGTCAAGGTAGGTAGTAGGTACATAATAAAAATTCTAGCCCCGGGTTTCCGTAAGAGCTGTTTACTAAAGCCTAATTACTAAACTAAGACAATGTAAAAATAATTTGAATAAGACTTCGGACATTTCTTCTACTGAACAAAGAGTTTCCAGGGCCAGAGGTGGTGTGGTCATTAAATATTGAATTGTCACAGAGCCGTCTATACAGCCGTGTATACATAGTGAAAGAGAGTTCAGATAAGACGAGCGAATTTCGTATCTGGCACCTGTAAAAACCTCAGACATTGCGAGATGGAATTCTTTGTAGTTTATCTTTCAACAATTTGGCGCATTGGTTCACAGAGGGGAACAATAATCAAAGTAGGGCTGTACTATACTCTTATACATTGTTTTACAAATGTAATTGCATTTAGTTTTATGAATGATCCCGTAGTCTCAACATAAAACACTTCAACGGATTATGAATTTGAATTTTAAAAGAAAAATGCAAGCCTCGTTTTGTTTGCGATTTTATGAGGGCAGGTGGGGATGGACATGTCTACCGAAAGATTGTAATCATGCAAATGCTAGCTAAGAGCTATGACATATTAAACAGCTTTTTTTGCTTCGTTTGAACACATTATAGTGACAGATGGATAAACTCAAGTCTAGTTTTTTTTTATCTCGTGGGTAATGGCTTATTTTTTCCTTAGTCAGCAAACGACTGAGGAGATTCTCAGAAAAGCCAACATAGATTTCATCCCAGCCATCTGTGAATTTAAGAGATGAGTACAGTCAACTCTCGCTCTGCGGACACCTCGCTATAACGAACACCCCGATAATACGCGTACAGACAGCAGCTAAATCCCAGGAAAACATAAATCACAGACATTTGGCTGAAATAAACTCCCGCTAATACGGACTCTCGCTAATGAGGGCACTAACACGAGGTCCCTACTGTGTCCGCTATAACGAGAGTTGACTGTATTAGGTAAGGAAATGGACAGCTGAATGGGGAACTGATCAAGTTGCCTCTAGTAGAATTGGTGAAAAAAGATGAAAAGTCTCTTGTTATGTCTCTTCCAGGGTAGATTCCGGCCGAAATCCTGCGTCGAATATGGGCAGCAAGGTGCCTACAAAGATGGAGTTTATAAGATTTATGACAACAGCGGAAACACTTTCCCAGCCTACTGTGATTTGAGATCTGAGCCTGGTATTGCATGGACACTGGTCATGTCGTGGAGTAGAGAAAATCGCGGTATTTCTTCATTTAAAAGAGCCCCATTTCAGATCAATGCCGCAGAAAACGAGAATTCCTCGAAGTGGGATCGTTACCGCTTAAGTCTGGAGCGAATGAGATCTCTGCAAGCTCACTCCACCCATTGGCGAGCAACATGCAGCTATCCGACCCACGGCATCGATTTCAGAGACTACCTCCGTGGAAACTTCAAAGACTTTAACATCATCGACTTCCTCGGGTCGGGCACGTGCAAGAGAGTGGAATACATTAACATCAGGGGTTACAACGGCACGAATTTGACGGCGCCTTTCTGGCAACTAATCAATACATTCACTCTGCATATCGACAGTAGATACACCAAATGTGAGTTTAACGCTGCTAGTACTGGCGCCGTGTCAAGTGAAGACAACTTTGGCTACTATGGGTCCTTCAACACCAACTTTCGCTGCACACAGGGCACCCAGTCCACCACCCAGTGGTGGTTTGGAGCTCTTGTCTAAACTTTTACTAGGATCAGGAACTTAATCGTTGATAATGGGTCAAAGAATTAAGGAACTGCTTCTGCAACTTGACTTGAAATTAACATTGATTTATAGACAGCTGGTAAAAGGTAATGAACGGATTTCTTTTTGAAAATCCACGAGAGAAATAATTACTTATTTTAGCCTGAATTTCAGACGATTACTTCGAGTCGATTACTCCTCTCAGTATAAAGCGACCAACCTCGTTCCCAGGGTTCTCTCCTACCCGCCCTACCCTCTCTCGCTCCGTAGGGCGGGTAGGAGAGAACCCTGGGAACGAGGAACGAGGTTGTAAAGGGACTCGAAGTAATGTCAGAGACTACGTCGGCGGGAACTTTAAAGACTTTAACATAATGGACTTCCTTGGTAATGGCGAGTGTAAGAGAGTAAAATATGTGGATATCCGAGGGCACAATGGCACAAACCTCACGGCACCGTTTTGGCAGGGCTGAACTTTGCATACTGACAGCTCTTCCGGTTTGTGCGAGTTCAGCGCAACTGTTGGAGCGGTATCAAGTGAAGACAACTTTGGCTATTATGGTGCATTTAATCCCAAGTTCCGCTGCACACAGACAGACAACTCTACTACTCAGTGGTGTTTTGGAGCTCATCTTAAAAACTAAGTAGTCACAAAACGAGAAATTCAGGTAGAGGGGATCTTAAAATCTAAACTATTAAGGTAGTACTAAAACTACTAACTATTAACTTCTTAGCATCAGGATAGAATTAAGCCGAAGGACCTGCCAGTGTAATAATAGGGAAATAACAGTGAAATTCTTCTAGAGCGCAGCTACATAATCTCAACGCGCTTTAAAAATGTAAAATAAAATATATTAAGAAATATACAAACTAAATTAAAAATGTTTTGAGCTTTCTTTTAAAGAGAAATAAAGTTTGCGAGTTTTTAATGTCTACTGGCAAGGAATTCCAGAGGGTAGGTGCAGCTACATTGAAAGAGCGAGCACCTTATGGCTGTGTCTGATGATTAGGTACTACCAATGACAGACCCCTGGATGCAGAACGAAGACTTCTGGTGGGGTGATGAATTTGCAGTAGATCACAAATGTAGGACGGGGCCATTCCATTCAGTGCTTTGTAGGTTATGATTAGAATCAACTTAATCCTTCTGGATTAAACGCAGGTTATACCGGAGAAATGGGCTGAAATGTTTGTCTTTGTAGTAATTCTCGCAGGGGCATTTAATACAATGCGTTGCAATTTATCAAGCTGCTTTTTCGAGAACCCAAATAGGAGACTGTTGCAAAAGTCAATTTTACTTGTTAAAAGTGGGTTGATCTAAGTACTTTCTAATCTTTCCAATATTACGCATCGCTAAGGACGCCGATTTGCAGATATTATTGACTTGTGTTGACATGTCAAAATGTTTATCCAAAACGACACCAAGATCAAGATCTGTACAGTCCCCGAAATGACCCCGACCACGAAATGATCCCCAAATCGACCCCGAAATAATCCCCATTTCTCTTCACGTCGACCCCAAAATAATCTCAAATTAATTTTTGGAATGGAATGGTATTCCGCCACGGAATTATTACAAGTCTGTTGCAGCGTTTACGTTCTTGGAATGCATTTAACATTTCACTACAGTTTATGTGATTTGTAACGCTTTTGTCGTCTGCTGTAATCATCTTTATGTCTTCGTTTGCATCTTCAACATCATTATAAATTTTAAAAGTGTTAAAACACCATTCTTAAAATTCACTATATCCAAGACATGCACTGAGTTTTAACATCATTTTTAGGATTTAACATCCATGCAGTTTTCTCTATAACCCGGGCTATAATCACCAAAGTAATTATAATAAAAAATGATATGTTTCTTGATGTTTTCAGTTGAAGTTCATGGTGTTACTAAAAATATACTAAACTTTGTGTATTAAATAATATTTTCTACTAATCCAGTTCAAAGTGTAATCCCAAATTAATGTCATTAAAGAATGCAGGCAAGTAAAGATTATTGGTGAAAATTTAATTAATGTTGTGCATTTTGCTCGATTCATAGTTCTAGAACATCATTCCATCCCTAACATTTCGGGGTCGGCGTGAAGAGAAATGGGGATCATTTCGGGTCGGTATCATTTCTGGGTCGATTTGGGGATCTTTTCAGGGTTGGGGATCATTTCGGGGGCTGTACAGATCGCATACTGCAGATTCCAATTTAATAGTACTAGCACCAATATTTATGGAAGGGATGGGATCAGTGTTAAGAAACTTTGAAGAAAAGTGGATAACTTTGGTCTCAGCTGTGTTGCAAAGCAAGAAGTTTTTGGAGTAAAACCAATACTGTAGCTTATACAATCTTTAATTTTACCGATGGATGCATTTCTATTGCTGAGCCCCATTTTGAGGTAAATCCAGCTATTTTTCCAAACCTTTGTTTATGGCGACGTAGTTTATGCTCAAACTTGGGAGGTATTGACCTTGAAAAACTGTATCTCGCCGCCTTAATTTTACCGATGGATGCATCTCTATTGCTGAGCCCCATTGCGAGGTAAATCCGACTATCGTCAGTTAGAACATAGGATGGAGGCCGTGTGAAAGGACAATATGCTGAACCGGAGCAACATACATGGCAAATAGGACAGGTCCCAGGACTTACCGTTGTGGAACACCAAAACGCAGCTGACTATCCACTGAGACAACAGATCTTAATACCTGATTAGCAAACGCCAGGCGATCTATGCTTCGTTCGGTAAATTCTCGGTCTAGAGATAAGCCAAATCTCTGATGTAACCTGTTCAATAACACTTGATGATCGATAGTGTCAAACGCCGCAGACAAGTCAAGTAGAACAAGGATGGTATCTTCGTGTTTATCAATGGCTTAATGATTAGTGATACGCAGTAAGGCTGTCTATGTACTGTTATCCTTTCGTTTATGAAGCCGATTGTGTTGCGTGGAATAGGTCGTTTTGAAGGAGATAAGAGTACATTTGGGACAGAGCGCATTTCTCAACAACTTTGGATAGAAATGGCAACTTGGTGATCGACGGATAATTCTTGAAGGCCTTAGGATCAAGTCCTTTCTTTTTAAGGACCGGCGTAACACGACCATGTTTAAAAGCTGACGGAAATACACCAGGGAAACACGAAGCATTCACTAGGTGAGTGATAGTTTTCACCAGGAATTCTATGCAATCCTTAAGTAGACTTGTGGGAAAGGGATCCAAACCGCCATTTTTTTTCAGTGACTGATGAAAAAGTGAAGAATGGTCATGAAATTAGACCCGTATGGCGTGTTGATGATTAATCGTGACAATCGTATTTTGATTGTGTTCCATTTATTTGCTACGATTAACATATTAACATTGTCTACGATACTCGTGGCGAATGTTACGAACCTTTCTCGCTTTGCCACGTTAACATTTTGTTTCAAAACATTATTCAAAGTTTTTTTTGTATTTCATCTCTATATTGTAAATTGTATATTGTAATTTGTTTACCCAGGGAGCACTAAGGAGTTCATAAGAACTCGTTGACACGTGTCTGTGCGTGCCAGATCGAATTGGAATTTGAAAGTGTTGGTTTTTAAGGAGAGGGGAAAACCGGAGTACTCGGAGAAAAACCTCTCGGAGCAAGGGAGAGAACCAGCAACAAACTCAACACAAATATGGCGTCGACGCCAGGAATCGAACCTGGGCCACATTGGTGGGAGGCGAGTGCTCTCACCACTGCAACACCCTTGCTCTCCAAGTCCGGATATATATATATATAATTATTATATGTGATTGGATTACCATTAAGAGGTACAGTAAGCACGAACGGAGCACAATAAACATGTTGCCCTCCCTAAAAATAATGTCATATTACCCCCTACCTCCTCATAACGGCCACACCTCTCCACAACGGCCACTTTCTTCTGTCCCCAAGGTTTCACCCTAGTCGCCCAAGTCATTCTAGTCACCTAAGTCACCCTAGTCACCCTAGTCACCCTAGTCACCCTTGTCATCCTAGTCACACAAGTCACCCTAGTCATCCTGGTCATCCTAGTCACCCTAGTCACCCTTGTCATCCTAGTCACCCAAGTCACCCTAGTCATCCTAGTCACCCAAGTCATCCTAGTCACCGTAATCACCCAAGTCAACCTAGTCATCCTTGTCAGCCTGTCACTCTGTCAACCTGGTCACCCAAGTCACCCTAGTCATCCTCGTCATCCTAGTCACCCAAGTCACCCTAGTCACCCTTGTCACCCTAGTCGTCCAAGTCACCCTAGTCACCCTGATCACCCTAGTCACCCTTGTCACCCTAGTCGTCCAAGTCACCCTAATCACCCTATTCACCCTGAATATACAGTCAAACCCCTCCACAACGGTCAAGGAAATTTATGTGACAGTTGCAATTGTAATTAACCGGAAAAGTTTCAGGTGGTATGATTCTGTGCAGTTACTATATTTATGATAAGAGGATTGTGTTGTGAACAAGATGGTTTGACAGAACTTCTGCACCCAGTTAACCCGCGACTAAGAACCTGGCCCCGGTTGTTCAAACGTTGGATAGCGCTATCCACCCGATTAATCACTATCCAGCGGATAAGTGTTCGGAAAACTAATTGCACTATCCACTGGATAGAGATTTATCCTGTGGATAGCGCTATCCAACCTTTGAACAACGGAGGCCTGGTTTAAAATGACCGTCTAAAATGTGCCAGTAGGCTCCCTCTATAAAAAAAACCTGTTTAGTCTAAAATTTGAAACAGATTCTTATTTGCAAAAGTTTATATATAAAAAATATTATGTAAACTAGGGTAAATGAGATAAGTCGATATTCAGGATCCTCTTTGGAGAGATATATACCTACTTATAACTCCATTTGCAAGTATTGTGATGGTATACAGGTTTTATCTAAGGAATGAGCTGAATACCACTAAATACTCTCAGCTACAATGTATTTTTTCGTTAGAAAATAAGAACCTATTTAAGAAACTAAATAGTCTAAATTGCCCTAATTACCATATGCATACCAAAATGCATATAATTTGTGTCTTCCTCTCCGATATTGCTTAGCTGGCGGATGCGAATATGAAAATAACAAATATCTTAACCGAAAACGTACGTTTTAAAGGAATGTAGACGTATTCATGACCTTTCTTAATAACCTTCGATCTACAGGATTGAAACTAAGATTCATCTATATATAGTGAGGGTAAATCGAGGGATAGCTTCTGTCTGGAAGCTAACTTATCATGCGCAGGTAAAGATAGGAAAGATATCCATTATAAACAGTCAGTTATTCGAATGCAAGAGAACATAACGCTGTCTTTCACGCTGTGTGATCGAGTATATTCCCAAGCAGGTGGACCGTAATAGGTTTATATTTGCTCTTTAAACAAATACCTAAGCCGTTAATTATTATTCCATGCATGCAAATATATACAGTTAAGTTATGAGTTAACAACAACATTAACTTTATTATGTTGAACAGATGTTATATAGTTACACCAATATAGGGACTAGGAAACCCTTACGAGCTTTTAAAAGGTTCCCCTATTATTTAGTTTTTTCTTATCAGGTCTGGACGCCATTTGCAGCGTATTCTAACTATGAATCTAACTATAAATTAATTTCAATTTAACTTGCACACCACTAAGTATTCTCTAAACACTGTTGTGACAAATATACATTTCAAACACAAAATGACTCATCAATAATTTTTTTCCAGCAAATGATGTTTATTGAGCTCCTATTGGCTAGATTTGATGAGAAATATTGACCAATCCTCCAACGGGTGGCTTTTTAAGTACAGCTGTCGCGCGCTTCATCTGACAAAGTAGCCTGAAATTTATTTTTGTGGGCTTGAAATTAGTTCCATCAGCACTGAAATGTTTCCGGCTCCATCCAATTACTGGTTGAATACCACTAAATACTCTTAGCTACAATGTATTTTTTCTTCAGAAAATAAGAACCTATTTAAGAACCTAAATAGTATAAATTGCCCTAATTACCATATGCATACCAAAATGCATATAATTTGTGTCCTCCTCTCCGATATTGCTTAGCTGGCGGATGCGAATATGAAAATAACAAATATCTTAACCGAAAACGTAAGTTTTAAAAGAATATAGACGTATTCATGACCTTTCTTAATAATCTTCGATCTACAGGATTGAAACTAAGATTCTTCCATATATAGTGAGGGTAAATCGAGGGATAGCTTCTGTCTGGAAGCTGAATTATCATGCGCAGAAAAAGATAGGAAAGATATCCATTATAAACAGTCAGTTATTCGAATGCAAGAGAACATAACGCTGTCTTCCACGCTGTGTGATCGAGTATATTCCCAAGCAGGTGGACCGTAATAGGTTTATATTTGC